TCTTCCTGGCCGCAGGGTTCCCAGGTACCAGGCCTGGGCAGACCAGCTTTGGGAATGTGGTCCAATCGCTTAACCTCGTGAGGCTGTTTCTGCACCATAGACTGTGCTGTTCTATCTCAGATGGAGCGGGAATACCCTCTCTGAGGGCCACTTGCCAGGGACTTTGCGAAATGACCATCAGCCTTACCAGGAGGAGGCGGGTGTTGCATTGAACTTAATCTTCCCATTGGCAGCAGAGTGGGCAACAGGAATGAGAACCCTTGAGTGGGGCTTCCTCTCCCCCAGCAGACCAATGGCTTCCGCTGCCCAAGGTTCCCAGGAAGTGGTGTGTGTGTGTGTGTGCGCGCGCGCGTGCACGCGTGTTCCTGTGTGTGTACATGTGCATGCGTGCATGTGTGTCCCTGTTTGAGGAGAAGCTTGCCATTAATTCCAGCTGTTCTATCTCAGATGGAGCGGGAATACCCTCTCTGAGGGCCACTTGCCAGGGACTTTGCGAAATGACCATCAGCCTTACCAGGAGGAGGCGGGTGTTGCATTGAACTTAATCTTCCCATAAGCAGCAGAATGGGCAACAGGAATGAGAACCCTCGAGTGGGGCTTCCTCTTCCCCCGCAGACCAATGGCTTTCGCTGCCTGAGGTTCCCAGGAAGTGGTGTATGTGTGTGTATGTGCGCACGCGCGTGCATGCGTGTTCGTGTGCACGCATGTGTGCACGTGCATGTGTGTGCATGTGCGTGCGTGCATGTGTGCCCCTGTTTGAGGAGAAGCTTGCCATTAATTCCATGAGGAAAGCAAAATGAAAACCGGCGTTGGGCAGGTTGCCTGCCCCTGTGAGGGAACATCCCTCTGGCCACACTCAGCCCCAGGGCCGTGTCCCTGGCTTCTGGGAAAAAGACCTCTAGGGCAGTGATGGTGAACCTATGACACACGTGAGCTCATTTTTTTGTTTGATTTTTCTTTGTTAAATGGCATTTAAATATATAAAATAAATATCAAAAATATAGGTCTTTGTTTTACTATGGTTGCAAATATTGAAAAATTTCTATATGTGACCACGGCACCAGAGTTAAGTTAGGGTTTTTCAAAATGCTGACACGCCGAGCTCAAAAGGTTCACCATTGGGAGAGATTTAATGGGGGAAGTTATATGCATATATGCATAGCCCATGGACACAGACAATACTGTGGTGAAGGTCTAGGAGGGGCGGGTGCATGGTGAAGGGGGGCAGTGGGGAAAAAAAGGGGACATCTGTAATACTTTCAACCCCTTCACCTCAGGAGTCAGCACAGGGATGTAGTAGAGCTGCAGGCTGAGCCTGGGAGACAAGCAGAACGTCTGGGTCTCTCGCTTCCTGGCAAAGGGCAACAGAGCACAGGGGGTGTCAGCACATGCCAACCGGTGCCCCCAGGACCCCCTGCCCCAGCACCTACCCACCCCGGGCCCCACCTGAGGCTGTGGTAGGCCCTGGCCAGGCGC